ATGGTCCGCAGAGTCCTGCAGGCGCTGCGCGCTCGGACTCAGCCAGCGGAGACGATGCTCACGAGGGGGAGGTACGACGTCGTCGTCGACGCGGCGGCGGGCCGGGCTCCGGTCGGCCTACGGCGTCGCAGCGCGCGGGCCCCTGGCGGGCAGAGCTCGGGCCCCGGGCGCCGCGAGCCCCCGGGGAGAACATTCATGCTAGATGGGGTCTACGGCAAGACGCCCATTGAAACGGGGCTGATGGCGCCGACGAGAACCGATGGGGCGAGCGCGATCACGGGGCAGGACCGCGCGCCCCACGACGTCCCAGCGTTGGCGCCCATCGGCGTGCAGGGGGGGTCTCGGCGCCGCGATCGACTCCCCGGAGACGCCGAGACGCCCCGTCGCAGGCGCCCATTGGCATGCAGGAGAGGCTCGGCACTGCGATTGACATCCCGAAGAGTCAGGTCACGCCATTCCGCTCCGCGCTGGGGCTACGACCAGAGTTGGCCCTGCCGGGTCTCTACCGCAGGCCTAGAGGTCGACGCCAAGGGCAATATCGGCGGCGTGCCTCCACCGAGGGAAGAAGATCCCCATCTCGATGACGGCGGCGATATTGTGACATCATGGGTGACCGAACTATTACCACCAACGCCGAACTTTAGGAACATCTTCCCCCTGTGGAGGCAGCCCCCCGGCGCTGGTGTTGGCGCCCATTTCCAGGCTTCCAACTCTCCCCGCGGCGCTTTTTCCAGCAGGCGGGGCGCCGGGAGGGCGCGTCGACATGTCGGGGGCGCGCGAACAGGGATGAAAGGCAGAGGCCAAAACATGAGACGGGGGGTAGATTAGCAGGGGCGAAAGAAGGTAGAGGAGGCGGAGGGGGCGGGGGAAAAGGAAGATCCGCTCGAACATGGATTCTCTGAAATTAGACTCGGGGCTTGCGATGAACGGGAGAGCGCCCGAACTGCTGCGAAAGTACTTCGAGCCGCCAGTAGGCGCGCGCCGCGATGTGCGGGGCGCAACGCTCGGCGGCTGCACTGCATATCTCACCCGCCAGGGGCGGCCTCAGCGAACGCCGCGCATTCGACGCGCGAAGACCTGCGTGCACAGCGCGCGCCGGCGCGACCGCGCACATCTGGCACGGCGCCGCGCGCCCGCGCGCGATGCGCCCCTCGGCTCGAGCCGCGTGGAATTGCCGATCGAAAGTTTCGCAGGGTAAATGCCAAACGGTCGCCCAGCGAAGCGTGCGCAGACAGCGCGCCGTCTCGGGCCGCAGGAGCCCGGCACGGCTGTTGGGTCGCCCTCGGGGCCGCGCTCGTGCCCCCCAGCACGGGGGGTCTTCGAAGCTCCCGAGACGGCCCGATCCGGATCGCGGCATTTCCAAGTGTTTTCTTTTCTGGCTCGCTCTCGGTGTCCCGTCCGGCCCCCCCCCCCCGGGGCCCTGTTGGAACAATCTCGGAGTCCCGAGGAGGCGTCGAGGGAGCTTCGGAGAGGGCCTCAAACGGCCCTCGGCGAAAACAAGATTGGAACATCGGAATCGGTCGTGTCAGATGCCCCATTCTTGCCCATGCCCAAAGCGTGAATTTCCGCGCGGACCTTCTCAGCGACAACATTACTCGGGGGGAATGTCGTGGCGATTGCGCCTTGGCAGACAAGCCCCTGGGGATCGCGACAGCGACGTGCCAGCGGTTCATTCCCGACGGACGACCGAAAAATTCGCCAGCGACATTTTTAACCAAGCAGCGCTTGCAGCGCAGCGACCAGCCCTTGCGTCGAACGGCCGATGGCCAGGGCGGCTCGCAACAACGCACATAGCACATCACGCGACGGGGCGCAGCGAATTGATTCACGAGTCGCCTGCACTCGCCCGCGGTCGACTGCTGTCGCGAGCCAGTGCAATTCAGCAATCGCACTTCTTCTGTCGGGCAGGTTCCCTTTCGCGGTTACCCATGGAAACCGCATGACATGCTTATGTTCTGGATTCGCCCGACAATGACAGGCAAAAGGGAGGGGGGGGGGGTGGGGCGGAGGGGCGGAAGGAGGGAAGGAGGAGGAGGAGGAGGAGGACGAGGACGAGGACGAGGAGGACGAGGACGAGGAGGAGGAGGGAGAGGAGGTGGAGGAGGAGGAGGAGGAGGAGGAGGAGGAGGAAGAAGAAGAAGAGGAGGAGGAGGAGGAGGAGGAGGGGGGGGGAAGGAAAAGGAGGAAAAGGAGGAGGAGGAGGAGGAGGAGAAGGAGGCGGAGGTGGAGGAGGTGGAAAAAGGAGGAGGAGGAAGAGGAGGCAGAGAAAGAAGAGGAGTAAGAAAATGCAGAAACGTTGTAGGCATATTGATGATAATGATAAGCATAGATCTGGTAATCATAATGATAATGCTATAATAGTAACAATAATAATGGTAAACTTGATATCTTTCAGTAGTGATACTAATAATCGTCAACGGTAGCATAATACCATCAATGATAATACTACGAATACGATTAATAATAAAAATAGTAAGAGGAAGGTGAGTACGAATACTAA